GATAGATAGAGAATTGTTATATCTCTAATATCCTCAGCATGATGCCACCAGTTCCATGCTTGATAAATGCTGCAACGATTTGATATGGAGACATTTGTCAAGACGAAACGAAACATTTTATTTATCAAAATATTTTATTTGGGGGGAAATAAAGGCGTTTATTCTGGAATAAAAGTGCACATGCGTTGTTGTCCTCAATATTAGTCCGTACCCCTCCTCACTGAATGTGACATTTCTCCAGCACTTGGCCCGGTTTTGCTCCCTTATGTGACCCAATAATCTGTCGCAGATCAGTGGAAAAACTCGGCCGACGGGCCAGTGGGTATAGGGTACCGCAGGGATCCTCTCGCCCCGCCACCCTTCCTCCCTTCCAGGCTGCACAGTCAGTCCTGATGGCCTGGTAGGAGCGGAGGGACACTTTGCGGTGCTGAAACGGACCTGTCTCCATCGGGAGACCGCCTCGTTTCGCCAGAGTCTCGAAGACTTGCTCGAGATTAGTGCTGTCCTTTGCAGATGTTTCAAAATAGATGCAGTCGCGCCCGAGTGCTTTGAGCACATCTGCGTGTGAAACCCCTCTCTGAGTCTCAAGATCCACCTTATTGGCACAAACCACAAGCGGGACCCGCTGCTGTGCGCAATGCGCCGGGACCGAGGACTTAGTGAGCTTTGATTTAGCTGTCAGGATCTCTTCTCGCAGGGAGCACACCTCCTCGAAGGAGCTCTTGTCATCAAGACTGAAGACAAGTAGAAATATATCTCCTGTAGAAACAAAAACAAACAGATTAAATCTATATTCAGAGAATTTTACGCACCATTTAAATATTGCATCTCTGATACATATATACTCAATAACTAATTTTACATGGAACTATCACATTGACAGTGATGTATCTGTGCGCATTTCACAATGTTAAACTCTTCAGTAAATACGCACCAGTGAGAATGGAGAGTCGCCGTTTGGCTGGGAAATCCCTCTCCCTGGACGCATCCAGGATGTCTATTTGGTAGGTCTCCCCACGGATGCAGAATAACTTTCTGAGGAAATCCTCAGAGGTCGGATGGTACTCTTCTACAAACCCGTCCCGGAGGTATCTCCTGAGGATGGAAGTCTTCCCAACTCGTGGCGCACCGAGGACCACGATGCGCTTACAGTTCTGCGGCTTGGTCAGACAGAGCGGCTCCTGTCTGTGCTCCAGGCCGCTGGAGCCGGTAGGGTCATGGAAAACTAAAGCTGCCAGCTGATCCAGCGGGGATCTGTTGAACGGATGTCTGCTCTGTGCACCGACTGTCTTCTTTTCGTGCTTCCAATGCAGCGTGGCTACTTTCAGTAAACCCAAACCCGCTTTGATTCTAGACGAGTTTAGCTGCTGCGATGCCTGCTTGTAAGCCAGCCAGACTTTGGAGGGACCAGAGCAGGTCTGCCCCGCAGGATTACCCTGTAGGTGAACTTCTTTCCCGGAACATTTGAGCTGATGCGGGATGGAGCTGATCGGGGAGCCGCTGGAGATGCCTCCTAGATCCATCGCTGCGGGCGCTTCTTTTTGCGCAGTGGAAAAGCGGACAGATTTAGTGATGTACCCAAGTTGGGATGTTCGATAGTGAGGAAGCTGATGTCAGCTTCATTTATACTCTCTCCTCAACCTCGTGATTCTTCCGCGTCACTAAGACCGACAACAAAAAAAGGAAAATTATGGTGCAGCTGCAGAACGGGGCTATGGAGGACCAACTCTGCCATATTTAAAAATAAAATCAGAAATAAATAAATGCTCAATAAATAAATAAGCAAGTAAATAATACAGTAAATAAATAAAGTTGAAGATTACAACGGACAATAAATACATAAGATAATTTTTACAGCGATACATACATTTATGTCTCACTGGATCATTTAAATTCTACCTAAAATTATTAGTTTATTGTATTTTTGGGGGCAATTAATTGTATGCTTATTTATTTATTGAGCTTATTTATTTATTTATTTATTTTTATTTTATATATGGCAGAGTTGGTCTGGGCATTTTTGGTCATGTGGGCCCACCACGATTAATTATATTTTATTGGGAGACAAATTGCAAACCAGATGAACACAGATGGTTTCAAAAGGAACTAGGCTATGTAGAAATATACATTATTCAAGAATTTAAAAAAAACCTATTTGCTGTAGGTGTAAAGCTGAGGATAAGTGATGTTATGAATGATGTTTATTCCTACGTTCTACGACTATATTTGACTTTACTGTAGCTAAATGCAGTGTTATCATTTTTCACTTTTATTTGAGATTATTTCAACATATTTTCTGTTGTAAAAACTTTCCATGTTATTCCATGTACTTTTTAACAGATTAATGTTTTTTTGTTTTTTTAAGTTTTGTTGTCTAGGCTGTTAAGCACGCAGCTGAGAACAGTGGTGGTATAGAGCAAATGTACAGTACTAGGGGGCCAGGAGGGGGCCAGAATGTTTTCGTGGGTTACAGAAAAGCATTAAATTAAAAACAGGGTAAGGGATTCAAATATATTAAGAGAGCTGCAGGAAGTGTAATTTCTATACAATTAGGTTAAATTAAAATTATATTTCTTATGAGGTCAGTATATGTTCATAATTTAAGAATTTACATATTTTTGACTGAATTTAAGTTAAAGTTACAATTTTCTATTAAATCTGAATTAGAACTCAAGAAAAACTGATAAATTCACCTGTAAAAATTAGAGCAATTTGTTTTGAAAAAAACATTTAGCAGATGAAAACTGCTGAATCCTATCTCAATACCACTGAAGCTATTACCTTACTGGTTTTAAATAATTAGTAAAACAGAATTTGTAAAGAAAAAAAAAATTAAATACTAGATCCAATTAAAGGACCTATCAGTAACCATGTCTGTTCCAGCGCATATCATCATTAGAATGTCTTTGAGTATTATGTCTTTAGTACAAGGGCCATTACATGGGGCCAAGACATGATAAACAGGGGCACTGGCCCCTGTCTAGAACCGCCCATGGCTGAAAATAAACAAGGTCTTGCCTGAAAAGACTCAGAGAAGAGACTTGCGCTGCTAATACTATCGCAAATTAAATAAGTAATTAAGACACTAATCTGAACTATGATCAGCTTCTTAAACAACAAATGTTTTGATGAATGAAAAAAAGTATGTTCCTTATTTAGGCTAGATTAAAAAAATATATAAATAATAAACAAAATATATTTGTTGTAAATTATTGCTAAAATCATGACAATCTGAAATAGGCTTACTGCACGTAATTATTTTTTTAAAGTGAAATAATACATTGAAAGATATTTATTCAAAAATAAATTAATAAAATACATACATACATACATACATACATACATACATACATACATACATACATACATACATACATACATACATACATACATACATACA